CTTATTTAACATTGTCTATAATTTAGGTTACGTTTTTGGGGATGATTCTGGTATTTCAAATCCAAGTTATCCGATAATTCTGGTACGATATGAACAAAATATTTGCAAATGACATTTTGTGTAAAATCCCAATATTGCTAATTTTCTAAGGGTCTATTATCAAAGTTTTATGTGTGCTGATAATTTTTTTCTTTATTTTAATGGATCTGTCTGACAAAAGTATATGTAAAACAAAACTTTTTAAATTAAATTTGTCTAATTGAATTAATATTGATATTTTACGGGTGTAAAAATCTTCATTGCAATTGTTTTTATACGTGGATTTTACTATGACTTGCTAAATTCAGGTTTGCTTTTTCAGATCACAGCAAACATCGGGCTCTCTCCTTTTTATATTTGAAATTCTATTATTTTCTTCCTTGTTACAACTATGTCGAGAAGAAAAGTAAGACACACATACACAACCAAATGTACATATTATTAATCATTTCACTCCAGGAAAAGCAATAACCGTGTAAAATGGGACTTTAGAGTAAGCCGATTACACCACTGGAGAGGGCTAAAACACATATAAATTACATAAGAGTACATCCGGCAGCAAGGCCTCTGATCAGGAGGTTTTGAGGAACAAGGAACCGAATCTTAATTGTTGTTTTTCCCAGGTCCACGCTAAGCCGGAGTTGTAACACCAATTAGGGTCCCAGCTATGGGCAAATATTTAACGTCCAAACTGTGGTCGAAACACCCTGAAAGTTTAGAAATATGTTTTTATAGTAAAAATATCAGTAATACATTTTTGAAAAAAAAAATTATTGCCAGCAACACAATTTTGGAAATAAAATTATTATCCCAAAACATTTTTTGAGAAAAAATTATTTCAAGTAGTATATTTTTTGAAAAAAAAAAATACCAGTAATATATTTTTGATAAAAATATTACCAGCAATACATATGACTCTCAACGAACTCTCTCTGCCTCTTTGTCACCGAGGCTCGTTGGTACAGTTGGTATACCGTTTGCCGGATAACGTAACTGTCCGGTTTTCAATCCTCGGTAGTGCATGCGCACTGCTGATGAGTCACAAATATAGGACGAAACGGTTGTCTAGTGCTTTCTACATTCTGTTGAGGTTTCTTCTAGACTCGATGAATTACTTAATTATATACACACACACAAAGGGCTCAATACAAAGTAGTGCAAAGGATTAGGGTTGGTAACAAGTTACGAGGAAGTACAATCATAGTATTGAAACATGAAATCTTTGTGCAGAGATTTAAATGGATTTATATCTATCTATCTATCTATATATATATATATATATATATATATATATATATATATATATATATATATATATATATGGATATAGATCCGAAGTATGAATAAAAATATACAGAAAAAAAAACAAAAATCTTAATATGCAATTATGCTGTATTAATGTTAATATAAAGTCAACATCAAACATTTCGATTTTAGACCATCATCAGGACATATTGATTAAACATAAACAGAACATTAGAACATGTAAAATTTTATATGTTCTAATGTTAATTATGTTTAATGAATATGCCCTGATTATGGTCTAAAATAGACTGAAACGTCCGACGTTGACTTTATATTAACATTAATACAGCATAATTGCATATTATGATTTTTGTTTGTTTTTCTGTATATTTTTCTTCATATATATGTATATATTTATATAGTTTATATATATAGTTTATATTTTGGCAGCATTTTTTCATTAATACATGTCTCATTAAATAATTCAGCCAAGTTTTGTCTATTTATTTTTAATAGGATCCTCTCATAATTACTGGCATTATTCTTACTTTCCTTATTAAAGGAAGAAAGAAAATTACCATGTTGATGCATATTCATTTTATTCCGAGTACTTTCGACATTAACACGACGTCGTCATCAGGGTCTTGTTTTTTCTAAGACAAAAATAGTTGAGTTCATCATGTTTCTAAGAGAAAATTGTTGTGTTCATCTGAAAATTAATTTTTTACTTCTTAAATGAAAAAAAATGTGTATTGATTATGACATTGAGCTAATGTCGAAAGTACCCGAATAAAATGTATATGCATCACCATGGTAATTGTCTTTCTCCCTTTAATAAGGATACTAAGAAACTTGTCAGTAATTATGAGACGATTCTTTTAAAAATAATTGAACATATGTTTAAAATAATTAATGAGACATTTGAACCATCTATAAGCAAATCCTTATTATTTAACATTATATATATATATATATGATCGAAATAAAAGTATAAAATTTAATATTACAAGACATATTAAAACAATATTAAATAATAAAAAAAAAAAAAATCAACAACAAAGGGGGGGGGAGCAACCGGTTTCGCTCCCGCTCGTCAGGCTTCCACGGGAGATTCAATATTAAAACAGAGAAATGTACAATAAGAATAGGTGGAAAAAAAAAAAAAAATTACGCATATATATATATATATGTTTGTATATGCAAGAAGGAACTAGAGGCAGAAGACAGCGAGTCCCAACAAACACTCACGTTGTTTGCACAAAGAAGGCTTGCGGGACCCGATGTAATGTGCCTCCAGAACCTTCAGGTGAAATACAGAGTGTGACCGGTTTTTTTTTTATTATTTGATATTGTTTTAATATGTCTTGTAATATTAAATTTTATACTTTTATTTCGATCATTAAATTTTTGTACCTACAAAAATATCTTTAAATATATATATATATATATATATATATATATATATATATATATATAGTTAAACCTAGAGAGCCACACAAACCTACCAGCCTTCCCGGACGATCCGCTTGGGTGAAAACTTGGTAGGTTTGTTTGGCTCTCTAGGTTTAACTAGGTATGCTTTTACTCATTGTATTGAGCACTTTATTTAGTTATTTTGGGTACTCGCATCGGTTTTTTTTTTCTTTGGGCCTTGGACTTGTATGCTAGACGATTATTTTCGGTTAACGTATATGTTCTTGGTTTCTTTCTTTTTTATACTTTTTTTTCCCGTTTGTTATAGGCTTGTTTATTTGCAAATCAAGACACCGAAGGTTTTCCGAGCGAGTATAGTTTCTTATACTTATACGATTTCTATTATTATTATTATTATTATAATAATAATAATAATAATAATATAATAATATATATATATATATATATATATATATATATATATATATATATATATATAATAGAGGAAATATTCGGTTTTCATTGCCCGAATAATTTTAGCATTACTGCTTATTAAAATTTATAAAATATTTTCACTAAAACTCTCTTTCACAAAAATAAACTTCTCAAGCTCACTAACTACTATGGATCTTTCTAGTACTTACTACCATCTAATCATTTCGTTTTTCTGATGTGGGACATCAATACCGTGATATATAATTTTAATTTTAAGTTTTAAGTTACATTTACAACCTAAGTTTATTTTTCTGCCGTTGAATGTTTTCAATTAATTTAAGTTTTTTTGATTGATAAATTGCTTTGTTTTTGATTATGTAGTGCCAGTCTATAAGATCTGATGATGCACCGTCTTCATTATGATCTAGTGTGTTCATTTGCCTGGAGCCATGTTTAATTATTGATCTGAGCAAACAAGTGTATACAATTGATAGTTTAGACTAAACAAGTCGGACATCATGCGTGGCACACTTATAAGAATCAGACAAGGCCATTCAAGAATAAGTTTTGATTTTTAGTTTTTTTTTTTTTTTTTGCTTTTGGTGCATTTTGCATTGTTGGTCAAATCTATCTCCAACACACACCATTCGTGTTCAATTTACTTATCTCCCATATTAAATTTATTGAACTTCGATATCTAGAAAAAAATTGAAATGTTTTAAATTCACAGAAACAAATATGTATACTCAGAGACAACTTAACCCCTTGAAGATGGCCTCAAATGAGATTGAAAGTAATTGGGAAAGTAAAAACTATTCGAAAGAAAATTTTGGCATTTTTCTTACTGAATTTTCTAAATCTACCAAAACTGAATCCGCGAAATTGAAAGGATCACACGAAAATTAATCGACATTATTTAAACAAACACTATATATATATATATATATATATACTCTTTCGACTTTCCCGGTGAATTCGACGTAGGAGGGTCAAGCAGATTAGTTTCCAGGAAACCGAAAGCCCGACAACAGCACATGAGCTTTGATTACAGTGGTGAAGGTTTCATGCAGGACCATCCACACTTTTTGAAAGGACGAATACAGAGACCTGGTGCACTTAAGTTCCTCAAGGGCCCCAAACAACCCTCCGCAGGTTTTGAATTCAGAGTTGTCCTTCTCCTAGACCAGTTGCAATCCAAGGCTATATAACCCAGTCTGTTCTGCTATTTGCCCATAGCTGGAAGAAGAAGAAGAGGATTCACACCTTTCCCAAGGGTATTAGCACGTAAGTGAATGTAATGGATTCGACTTGAATTCGATCCTCAATCCAAGCCGCTATCCATTACTCCACCGTGCCTTTACTCACAGACAACAACCTCCTGAAGATGGTTTCAAATGAGACTGAAAGTACTTGGGAAAATAAAAATTATTTAAAAGAAAATTTTGGTATTTTTCCTAATCAATTTTGTAAATCTACCAAGAAATTAATCCGCAAGCTTGACAAGATCACAACTAAAACTAATGGATATGATATATCTAAATTATTTAACCAAACCTGTTTGAATTAAATTTATTATAAAGAATTCATACTTCGCGGTATTTAAAGAGTTTAGAATTTATTAACTCAACATTCTGAATGTTTATAATAGAGTGGGTACATGTGCCATGTTTATTTGCATTTTAATTCTAAATCATCGTTTCTGATTTGGAAGGGTTTATCTTAAGACTAATAAATGATCGTACATTTCAATATGAATCAAGATAAACATTACTTAACATTCTTCGTCAGTTGAGAATCAATAATTTAATTACAGAGAAGACCAAACTAAAACCATTATTTTTTGCATGGGCACTTATACACATGCATACTTAAAAACAGACGTATAGATAGATAGATAGATAGATAGATATATTCAAACTGATAGATAGATAGATAGATAGATAGATAGATAGATTCAAACTGATACATATATAGACAGATTTAAACTGATAGATAGCTATATAAATTCAAACTGAGATAGAATGAAACTGATAGATAGTTGTCATCCTCTTCATATATATATATATATATATATATATATATATATATATATATATAAATGTTGACTTAAATTAAATAATTACATATTAACCACTGTATATACGTGCGTTAGCGTGCATACACAGATAAACGAATAAATATTTAGTTAATTTAAGTAAACAAAAGAGTACTCAATGTGGATACACAGAGCTAAGTAGTGTATATATATATATATATATATATATATATACCTACGTTCGTAATGGAACTTAATGTTTCATGGTATTACCAACTCATAAGGTATGAACTCTTGAATGAATGCCTATTACGGTTCTGTCTTATTGGTGGAACGCTGAATTAAACGCTGAATTAAACGCAGAATCAAAGCTCAAAGTTAATATAAAACTTAATATATTTTTGTGGTGTAAATTCAAAATGTAGATAGTAGGTAGGGGTAATTGTAAAAGGGAAACAAGATGGAAGCTTACATTTAAATGAAAAAAGAGAAACACTGTGTAGCTCATTAAGTATTAATAGACGCATAAATGGTTAAAGGGGGGTAATCAATATGCAACCAAAGAATTGTAAAGGGCATGTGATATGAGGATAATTTTCAATGATTCAATCAAACAATTTCATTTCATTTATTAAGTAAATTTCAGTTATTAATATAATTGAGGATGACTCTTTTTTTCCAACAAACCCAGGTTACATCGGTCGCAGAGGCCGGAAAAGGGTGTAGATTTGGCGACGAAATTCCAAGTTACTACCGGTGTATATTCATCTGTTTTAATATCCCAATAAAATTTTGAGAGTGCCCTTTTTTATATTGTTCATATCAATAAAAAAAACAAAGGAATAAATTATTCTTAGCCGACGCGTTTCGTTCTCTGAGGGACTTTATCAAGGCAAATGTTTTAAAACGCGTCAGCTGACAATAGTTTTTCCTCTTGTCATTTCATCCATTTTCTACCTTCATAAATACACTCTATCTGAAAAGAATTTACACCCCCACACACACTCATATGTGTATATATATATATATATATATATATATTACGATAAACGTGCAATCAATTTACAAATTCATGAATTATTCACACAAAAACAAATGCAAATGTTAATGATTTAATTGGCGAGAAATCCATCGTCGCAAACAATTCAAATAATATACAAAAACCTCCGAATCCGTTATGAATGAAACAATCCTTGTTTCTATAAGTTTCTGCCGTATTAGTTCTTATTTTTACTACAAGCTTTCGTCTGTTCCTACAGACATCTTCAGATATAGAATAGATGTTGTTCTTGTTTTTTCTTTTAGTAATAAGAGGACAACGAAAATATATGTATTGTTGTATCCGAAAATGCTATTGGAAATGAGTTATTGTTTTTGAGCGCGCAGTAGCAACGCTGAGTTTGATTTTACATTTTTAAAAAGTTGTGCGTTCATATACAAATATGGTGATGAACAAATTTTTACTGGTAAATTTTCTGTCAAAGTGGCATGAACTATATTGTTCAATAATTACAGTAATGTCGCACTTATTATCCAAAAGTCGCACTTGGATTTAAATTACGATAAACGTGCAATCAATTTACAAATTCATGAATTATTCATACAAAAAACAAATGCAAAATTAATGATTTAATTGGCATCGTCGCAAACAATTCAAATAATATACAAAAACCTCCGAATCAAGAACTAATAAGAACTAATACGGCAGAAATTTATAGAAACAAGGATCGTTTCATTCATAACGGATTCGGAGGTTTTTGTATATTATTTGAATTGTTTGCGACGATGGATTTCTCGCCAATTAAATCATTAACCTTTGCATTTGTTTTTGTGTGAATAATTCATGAATATATATGTGTGTGTGTGTGTGTTTCATTAAAAACGACAGACAAGGTACTACGTTTAAGTTTTTTATTTAATTTTTCTTGTGTTCTAGCAAGAGCTTTCTTTTCTGGACAAAGGGTGTGTAAGAACTGTCCAAAGGTTTTATATTTCCGAGCGCTTTCGGCTATAACTTTAGCCATTATCAAGGATGATTCGATTTTTCAGATTACCTGAGTGTGTGCGTTCTGTGGATGTATCAGTGTGTGGTAGGAATGTTTTAATTTCCGAATACGGTTAGCACATTGTGGCTTTGTTCGTAGTTAATATAAAACGTTTGGACAGTCGGAAATATAAAACATTTGGACAGTTTTTACACACCAGAAAAAGAAAGACAAATTAAATAAAAAGCTTAACCGTAGTACCTTGTCTGTTAATAAAACATGCACAAAGGAAGGATTGCTGCTTAAATATATATATATATATATATATATATATATATATATATATATATATATATATATATATTTATTTGTTTAAAAAATATAATTTCAAGACGCGACATAAGAAGTCTCATGTTTCAAAACAAAAGCCGAAAACTTCAATATAATTATTTAAATTAAATTGAGTTAAAGTGAGCTCTGTTCCATCTTCAAGCGAAATTTTTATTGGAATAACGAATTTCTGAAATTTTAAAACACGTAAATTTTAAAACTCGTAAATTTCAGAAATAGGTTATTCCAAAAAAAATTTCGCTTGAAGATGGAACAGAGCTCACTTTAACTCAATTTAATTCGAATAATTATATTGAAGTTTTCGCCTTTTTTTTTAAAACATGAGACCTCTTATGTCGCGAGTTGGAATCATATTTTAAATAAATAATTATATTTATGCTCTACTTTTGTATCGAGCACTATTTTTTAAAAATAATAACTAAAATACTAAGGAACTTTGGATTATTTACCTAACCAGTTCCTTCCTATTTTCTATATATTTTCACACACACACACACACACACACATATATATATATATATATATATATATATATATATATATATATATGTGTGTGTGTGTGTGTGTGTGTATATTACAGACAACTGAAAAAAGATACTGCGATTGAGTTTTTTATTTCATATTTTTTGTGTTCGTACAACTTTTCTTTTCTGCACATAAAATGTGTACAAACTGTCCAAAATTTACTGCATATCGGAGTGCTCTTGGCTATTCTTTTAGTCACTATCAAAGGGTGATTTTTAAACTAAATATGTGGATTTTATTATGTATGTCTCTGAAATTATGAGAATGTTCCGAACACAGACAGCCCATTGCGGCCGTGTTCATAGTTAATGATATTGAATGTTGGCTTTTCCTTTTTTATTAGCTATTTTTTTTCATAACTCTTCAAATGTTGAATGTATTTCTATTTTCCTCTCTTTGCACTATATCAGTTTTATCTTATAAAGTTTCCCCTGTGCTTTAAGTTAAGTGGCAGCTGAAGAATTATCGTTGAATTCTTAAAAGTTAAGTTTAAGCATTAATTAAATGCAGCGATCAATTTTGACTTCTGTAATTTTTTTATGCCTATCGCATCTACTCCTCCCTAGATATTGTGACGTTGGCCAGACTTAGAGTCCTCCACAAGAGCTCGCTTAAAAGCTGCATTATCGGGCGGCATTTGAGCTAGTTTTTAATACAACGTGCACTGCAATTTGGGATACAAAAGCAAAATAAGAGTTACTCCCCTTGAAACATGAAAGTAAAGATAATAGCTAGTATAATATATTAATATATATTATAAAACTCGCATAATCTGGCAACCGTGAACCTGAGCTCAACGAAAATCGTTCCCTTCGCCTAACTTTTCTAAGGCTTTTAAATGAGTTATGCATCATTGAAATCGGACCAGTGAGAGCGGAGGAGTTTCTTGGAGACACACATACACGGACAAACACACACATACATTGTACTTTATATATAAGATATAATCCTTAACCAGGTGCGATTAGCCCGACACGTTGTGAGAATAGGGGATAACAGGATTGCGAAACGACTTCTCTACGGGGAACTGAAGATAGGAAAGCGTCCATAACACAAGCCTTGACAGAGGTTTACAGATAATTTGTAGGATAATCTGCATTGTCTATGCATGTGGCGAAGAACTGACTTTAAATCGTGTGGAGCATAGGCACTTTATAAGGAAGGGAATCAATATCTTTAAGGATGAATGTCTTTGACATGCTCAGATCAAAGAAGCACTTACTCGAATTTTCCAGCTAATATGCGGTTTTGGAAATGTGGTGTGTGTGAGGCGGGTAATGAAAACTGTCTGGAAGGTCATGATAACTGTGAGAGAGAGAGAGAGAGAGAGAGAGAGTCTAGGAAACACACACACACACACACAAACACACGCGCACACACACACACGTATTTTTTTTTTAGTAAAAATTGGAGTAGATTTGAATAACGAAATTAAATAAGAGCATTTTGTTTACTGATGGGGGAATCTGATCTAGGGCAGAAGTTGTACCCACTGAATCTGGTTCATCAGGAGACAATGAAAATGGTCGAAATAATTTTTATCGATTAAAAATTGAAATAGAGCTGAGTAAGCTAGAAGGAACTTTGGAATTCACATGATTTTGGTTGAAGCAGCTAGAACCCCGTGATAATCGCGTGCGAAGTAGTAGGGCCAAGGGTCAGTTATAACCAGCCTTGGTTTATCTATATAAATGCGTAGTTATGCTAAAAAAGACGGTAGAAAATTCTTGAAGAGAGAATTGGTCCTGGCGAGAGTTTGGAGGAGGAACGCCAATATAACTTTAAGCCCCACACAAAAATCTTTATCCCTCCATCGCAAGAGTCATATATCGTTCTGAGACGATTTAACAACAAGGTAAGCACCTACACACATCTCTCTCTCTCTCTCTCTCTCTCTCTCTCTCTCTCTCTCTCTCTGTGTCTAGAATACAGTGTATGAGTTTTCTTTTTTGTTTTTTTTTTACTGTTCTTTTCTGTAACCCGTTTCTCTTCTCTACTATTCTTTTCTGCTATATAAAAGACATTAACAATTCAAACACTGAATCGATGTTTGTCCGGATTTG